TTTGATTCTAATGCACTTTCCCAGCGGCTGCCAAGAGTGCGAGGCCAACAGGTTCTATGCCACAAACACACACACACACACCAAACGTGATTCCGTTTGAGGTTGCCACTAAAAAGTGATTTTGTTGCTGCAGCTGCAAGGGTATTTCGTCTAAGTTTCACTCCCCCAAAAAAAGCAGAAGAAGAAGCAAAAAGTTGCTCACTAATTTTGCATGCAAATGAGCAAAAAGAAGAATAGCTGACGCGGCACAGTTAACAGGGGGGCGTGTCATTGGCCTGTTCAAACAAATTTCTGCTGCCGTGTGTAATTAGCAATGGCGAGTGCTGCAGGTAAGCCAGGCAGGTGCAACTGCAATTTGAGGCACTTGAGCCTGAAAGAGAAATTGGGTCAGAATCAGCTACAATTGCTATGGCATCCAATGTTGGGCAGCGTTTTGATAGCACCACTCCAAGAATGTCAGCGAGATAACAACTGCCTCTGAATCTCTCTCCATCGCTCTGCCTATGAATGACAACAATGAGAAGCAAGAGTGTTGACAGAGGCGAGCTGTTGAGGCCGTAGAGATACCCTAGATGAAGAGTTGAAGAGGGAGAGAGAGATGCGATAGATAGTGGGAGAGAAAGAGAGAGAGAGAGATAGAGGGAGAGCGAGATAGATCTAGATAGATATTCTTTATATAATCAGTAAAGCTTTCTTCCATCTTTTCTTATAGAACAAACAATCTGCTTTCCAGCAGTTCCGTAATTTTAGATAAAAAATTGTAAAAATTTATTTTAATAACTTGAAATCTTCTGCTTCAGTAGCTAAACTTCCAACCAATATACCCTACGACACATGTGTACAGGGTATTCAAAGGCATGTGCTGCTGCAGCCGTCTGCTGCTCGTTGACAATGACAGACGCATTGTGGCCAATGGCAGCGAATTTGTACAGGATAGTTTTGATTTCTATGGCAAATCAGAGCAACGCCTTTAGCTACACAAGCAGCACAAGCAACAGAGTCGACAAACAACAACAAACAGCAACAGACACGCAACATATGTCAGTTTGTGGTATGCGGCAAGCGAAGAGTGAAAAGATTTGCAATTTAAGGCGAATTAGTGCAAGCGCAGCTTTAATTGGCATCAAGTTATAGATAAATATAGATATGGCTATATGTGTGTGTGTGTGTGTAGAAGACATTTTGCTTCCTGTTTGCCAGAAATCAATAACAGCAACAGCAACAACAACAAACGAGAAACCAGTCAATAAAAAGAATTCTCAGTAACAACAAAAAGCAAAAAACAAAACAAAAGCGAAATGAAATGGAAATTTGGGTCAACAGCTTGAACGCAGGTAAAATACATTAAAAAAATTAAAAAAAAAAAACTTTATTGAAATTAAATTTATTTTATGCATGCATTAATTGTTTAAAAAGCAAGTGCTATATATTTATATATGCAAATGCATATTTATGCATATGCGAGGGCTGCTCAAAAAGTAGCGAGAATTATGAATTGCGTTGGCTTAAGTATAAACTACTTTTGCTTTTCTTTCAGTGACATTATAAGCCTCAGCGATGCTAAGTTCCACTATTTTGATAGCACTACTATAGACCGGCTTCTATTCTTAACTATGGCAAAGAATGCATCAAGGAATCTCAATCAAAGGTTTGACCCAAAGGAACTTGTGTGATGGCATAGTATGCACCTCAACGCCCAAACCTAACCCACTGCAACTACTTCTGCCCACAGCAGAAGAAGAAGCACATGAAAGTGCATGCTACGTGACGATTGAGTAGATAAAGAAGTCATAGCAGGAGCAGCTGAGCAAGATCATAAAGGATGATATTTTCGAAGATTGGAATGGAAGTTGTATAATATCTGAAGCGCACAAAATAGATAGACTCATGAATACAAAGCACACATTACGCTGAAAGCAGACCTCGCACACATATGCTGCGTGCCATTAAACGCGCTTGTGGCAGCGAGTTCGTGTCCTAAGTCTTTTGTTTTATGACCGCCGCTATGTAACAGGCGCTGCATAATCAATTAGAAGTGAGCAACAACAAACAGTTTTTGGGAAAGGCAATGTTGGGCAAAGGAAAGTGCAAGTGATGTCCACTATATAAAATATATATAATATA